CAGTGCCACAGGCTGATAGCTTCCATGCCACGCCACACTGAGGCAGTAATTGCTGCAAAAGTGGCCCAAACCAAGTACGGAGTACATATGCATGCTTCTACTTTTCAGAGGTCCGATATTGTTCTATGTACAATCCTTGTTTTATTGATTGCATGTAATATTCAAATTTTCTGAGATTGTGGATTTGGGGTTTTCATGAGCTGTAAGCCATAATCATCACAATTATGACAAATCACGGCTTGAACTATCTTGCTTTTCATGCCATTAGTTTATCTCATATATCAGTTTCACCTTTTAAGTTGCATTACTGAAATAAATTAACTTTTGCACGATATTCTAATTTTTCGAGTTTCACCTGTAAATACACACACAAGTGATCCTCACTCCCGGCCTGTTCACGGGTAGAGGGCACGTGCACGATGTTATTTGGCCTGGACCTGCTGATTGACTATACTGAATCAGAGCTCAGCCTGTGCCTACATTTACATAACACAGGCACAAAAAGAGATGCAATCTGCTCTCCCTGGAGTACATTCCGGTCCAGAGAGAGAAGAAATCAGATGCACATGAGTCAAACTAGTACACAGCAAAAGCACTGTTAGGTCACATTTAACCCCCTAATGCGCCCCCCATTAACCCTTTCACTGCCCTGTCACCAGTGTCATTATTACAGCGTACATTTTTTTTTTTTTATTATTCAACGGTCGCTGTATTAGTGTCACAAGCGACTTCAGGTAGCGTTAGCATCAGATTGCCCACCACTACATCATTCATCACTTTTAACCCTTAGATTGCCAGGAACACACTCACATACACAATGAACCTCCATTGCTAGTATAGTTTCTGAGCAGATCAATATCTTTGATCAGAACTAAAAGTATACCAGTGTTCACAATAAGATAGTGTACCTAAAAACACAGCGTTAGCAGGATCAGCTGCGACACCTGTCAGCAGCAAATTTAGCCCCTACGCTTAACCACCCCCCTTCCCCCCTAGCAAGTGTAGTGTCAGTAGATCACCATCACTTGATACATTGCACACAACACTGCAGGGTTAGCAAGATCAGGCCTGATCTCTGCTAGCACTAGCAGGTATTTTTTTTTTGTAGCGGTTCAAGCAGTTCCTGACAGCCAAGTACTCTTTTTCCTGTGAGTTGCACTAGGTACCTATAAACGTAAAGGCCAAAATGTCCAAAGAAAAGGTACACTAGTGAAAAGGCCTACAGGATTCTGAGTATGTCAGATGAGAGCGAAGGGGAAGTCTCACTGACAGAATCAGGCTCAGAATACCTGTGGAGAACCTGTAGAGAGCAGCAGCACCCTGACAGATAGCAGGGACCTTTGCTCCATTGTTTGCGCTAAGGTCAGGCGTACCTGACCCCATGCCCAGGTTGTTGACGTGTTACAATTGCATGATAATTCTCATGTGCAGCAGAGTGCCAGTACTAGTACCACTCTAGTTTTTTGGTGAACTGGCGAGCACCAGGAGCCTAGTACATCCTGGTATTTTACATACCAGAACTGCAGTATCACTTGGTGACGTGGCAAATCCCATAAGTGCAATACAAGCTGGTGCTGTGGCTAGCACAAGCATTGCCCCGCAGCCACCAAGAATTCAAACACAGGTCCGCAGAGCCCATAGTGTCCTTCCTGGTGTGCTTGCACATCCTGTTTGGCAGCCCACAAATTCTGCAGCACCCATACTTGCCTGCTCCATTCACTGCCCAGCCTAGAATTCAGGTGGAAACACATTTAACTACTCCCCTTGATTTTTTGGAGCAGTTTTTCATGGAAGAGGTGTATGCATGAAATGTGGATTAAAGCAATTTATACACACAATTTATCACCGCCAACCCAAATTCAAACCTTGCCAGACTATTTGCTTGGAAACCTATTACGGTTTTCAAATTTAAAGTTATTTTGGGCCTAACCCTCAACATGGGCATTACTAAAAAGAATGAGCTGCAGTTGTATTGGTCCACAGACCCGATTCATCATATGCCCATGTTCTCTGCTGCCATGGCCAGGCATAGATATGAGAACACAATGCAGTTTATGCATTTCAATGGCAATACATTCTGTCTTCGAGGTGACCCTGAATATGACAGGCTCCACAAAATTTGGCCCCATGTACATCACTTTAACCAGAAATTTGCAGATGTGTATACTCCCCGCAAAACATCTGCGTTGATGAGTCCCTCGTTAATTTTTCTGGCCGTCTTGCATTCAAACATTTTTTCCCCAGCTAGCATGCCAGATATGACATCAAAATGTACAAAACATGTGAGAGGGAAAAGATAATGTGCAGCCCTCCGGATGCCCACACATGGGAAGCAGTAACAAGATAGTTTGGGACTTGGCGTCATCCTTTTTCCATATGGGGTACCAACTATACGCAGACAATTTTTATACAAGCTTGCCACTATTTAGACATTTGTACAATCTTGGAATTGGCACATTTGGCACCGTGCAACCTAATCTGCAGGGTTTCCCCCAATGGCCTATAAATACCGAACTTAGAAAGTGGGAGAAAGCCTGCTTGAAAAATGAATTGCTTGCAGTGAAGTGGAAGGACAAACGGGATGTTTTTGTCCCGTCTTCCATTCACGCAGTAACGATCATCCAAATTACCACGGCAGCTGGTGTTGAGAAAGCCCCTCTGTGTCCACGACTATAACCTTAACATGGGAGGGGTGGACTTCAATGACCAGATGAGAAAGCTGTACTTAATTCCCCGTAAAGCCAGATGCTGGTACACAAAAATTGTCTGTATATTTATTTCAATTGGCTCTGTACAATGCTTTTGTGCTTTACAAAGCAACTGGACAAAGTGGATCCTTCCTAAAATTTCAGAAAGATCAGAATGGTCCTTTTGTATTCAGCAGGTGCTGTGGCCCAAACCCCCAACCCCGATGCAGTGAGCCGGCTGTGCGAGAGGAATTTTCCTGATGCCATTCCTGGTACCCCAACCCAAAATATTCACCTCAAAGCATGATTGAGTCCTTCTCGGCATAACCTTTGAGGTTAAACTTTGAACCCTTTGACTGGGCTGGTTCTATGAGGAGAGTAGGAGTGGAGGGCCCCTGTGCCCCTCCACCCCCCAGTTCTGCCTCCAGGACAGACAGTGTGTTCCCACTCTGTCTTCACTGTCTGATCTCTTCGGCATCTTCCCTCCTTCTCAACCCCTCCCCCTCTTTTTTTTTTTCCCCTCTCTCTCCCATTATTTCCCCATTCCTTGAGAGTCAGGTTACGTAAATTTTTTTCTTCATTTTTATGGCCCCAAGATGTGTGGGATCTAATTTGTGTTTTAGAATGAAAAAGTTTGAGCCAGATTTTGTGTATTTCAGGTTCATTACCCTACATTTCCAGTATGAGCGGCATTATTATAGTTTTCTATAACAGACAAATTGTATCTAGCCCAACGGTCCTGGTTACTGGAACATTTTGACATGTTATGCCACAATGCCAAATGTTGCATGTGGAGTTTACATTCACTCCTTTTGCATACTGTGTGATGGTACTCCTCTGTGCACAATGTCTAAAATAAAAAATTACAAAAAAAACAAAACATTTGAGGGGGGGGGGTTGGATTGTGCTATCCTGGAATTTCAGAGCCTCTGAAACTGACAGGTAGTAAGAAAGTAAAATAAGGAATTTATGCACCATCAGGATTTCAAAGGGGTCATTGGATATCGGGCTTCGGTATGCAGCTAGGCTCAAAAAGGTCTCACTCACACATGTGGTATCCCCATACTTCGGATATGTAGCAGAATATATTTTGGGGTGTAATTCAAAATATACCCATGGCATGTGTGAGCATCATACAATTAAATGACACAAAATTTTTTTCTTTGTCAATTTTCAAAAATTTGGGGGGGTAATCTTCCATGGACTCAAGCAAAATGCTTAGGGTGTCTACTTTCCAAAAAAAGGGGTCATTTGGGGATGTTCATACTGCCCTGGCATTTTGGCACCTGAAGAACTGAGATAGGCAGTCAGAAAGTAAAAGCTGCGTAAATTGCAGTATCTATACTATAGTTTGTAGACACTATAACTGCCACACAAAAACCCAATTATCGTACACTTATTGGGATTTTTACCAAAGACATGTAGCAAAATACATTTTGGCCTAAATTTATGACAACATTTCAGTTTATTGGATTTTTTTTATAACAGAAATGAGAAAATATTGGGTTTTTTTTCCAAAATTTTCTATTTGTTGTTACTAGCGCAAAAAATATAAAACCCAGGAGGTGATCAAATACCATCAAAAGAAAGCTCTATTTGTGTGAAAAAAGGACAACTTTAGTTTGGGTACAGCGTTGCATGACTATGTATTTACCAGTTTAAATAGCACAGCGCCAAATAGCAAAAAAAGGCCTGGTCAAGCAAATCTTCCAGAGGGCAAGTGTTTGAAATAAAATTGGTGCACTTCCTATAAATTGGATAGGTTTCCCTTTCCAAATTATATGTTTACCAGTTTGGACTTGATTAAAGATTACCTGCGTAAGTAAACAAAAACTAGAAAGCTGGTCATTTCAGGAAGTAAACTGCTGGAAAAAACCAAAGCAAAATGAATCAACAAAATGCTTGCAAGTGTTACTCTGCTATGAAGGAAACTATTTACTGTTTCTCAGATTAAACCAAAAAGGAGCTAAAATAACTACTGCAATACAAAATATGTACTTCAGTAAAATAAAATAAATTCTTGTTGCAGAAATGCAGCCTAGATTGTCATACCACCATCACCATACAGATATTTTCTCAGATTGCCTGTATCCCAAAAACCATTTGGCCATGTTAAATTCTGCTAAGTAGCAGCAAGGGCAGCTCATTCAATTTGAAAAATGAATTAGTAATTTCACTGAGGAGGCTGTATAAGTATCATGATGTAACATGAATGAGCGGTTTTACAATTGTACTATAGTATGGGCAACGCCTTATGTCCCTACTAATCCACTACACATTGTTATTACAGGAGAGCTGGAGAAACATACTCACACTCAAAATTTCTGCAGTTAACTGGTCTACATCCTGGGCATTTTCTGGAAGTTCATCGCTGTTACCAACAGGCTCTTTCTTCTGCAATAGCAAAAATAAAAAAATGTTTTCTTCAGTACGTGCACAGCTCCCCAATTAATAAAGAAGGGATATTTTAAGCTGGCTTCCTTTATCATTTGATTACAAGTCTCTCTTGCCATTTCCTGGGATTAAACAATGATGTCCTTGAGCACACAATTTCTGTCTATACAAGGAAGCAGTGTACAACAAAATAATGCTTCAAACTTGATAGTTGTCTTTTGAATAGGATCTGGGCAGTGTATCCTTTTAGCACTGTTTTGTGGCATTTTAGCAGCAGAGGATCCCAGCATAGGAGGTGGGACTGAATGTAATCCATGTCAGCGTTGGAGTAAAGGATCTTTCTTTGTACCACCTGCATGGACAGCCTTGCACAAGATAAAGCACGGAGGTCCGAGCATCCACGCATAATGTACCACATCAAAAGATTACTAAATAATTGCAACGGCATAGTGCCCTCTGCATATTGATTGATTAGATTTGGTTTCTTATTATGCTACAAACATCAAAAAAGTTTGCTGGACATTGAGCCACCAGTAAACATACACATTGTCAGGTTATGTGCTATTACTTTTTTTTGCCTGAAATTACCACCAAAAGGTCCAATTTACTTACATTTAAAACAAAACCATAACTAAAGCCCAAATCCTTTATGTGCGTCAGAATAAAAAAGAAAAATTGTGTAAATGTGTATTTTTTTTTTTTTTTTTTTAAATACCGCCACACTACTCTCTAGAATGCGATTGAATGATTTGGTGCGATTTATGTGACGGGCTTGCTGCTGGACACATGTGTTCCCACACCAACTATAAATAAGATGCAAAAAAAGTGCAGCACTACCCTATTATAATCAATATATCATTCGTGAATGATGATGGAAACCCCTTAAAACACCCATTAATACGTGCAAATAAAAACAATGTCCAATTAATGTGACAAAACCCTTGTAAAATGCAGTTAACTATTAAGACCAGGAGCCTAATCCACTGGCTTGGATTTGTTTGGTACATTTTGAGTGTTTTCACTATTATAGGTTATAAAATGTGGTACTATTTGGGGAAATATTTCTCTTATGGTTTCATATCATTATGCACTGTGTGTCAGAATAAGGATTTAAGCGACTACAAAAATAAAGTGTTTAAAGAGCAGCCTAGGAAAGAAAAACAACAACACTGGCCTGTCTTGCCACTGTCCTTTTCAGATCACATTCCATTTTCAATACCATTCCTACATCCAGCAATGAATGGAACCATTTCAAGCAACCCTGACCAATTTAAAAATGGATAAAATAGTCTGGCAAAAGAAGAGCATGAAAATCCTCCTGTCCTGCCATCGTTCTTTAGATCTTCCCCATCTCGAAGAGATATGACCTCCAGGAGAATCTTTCTATCATCAGTGTGGTGCTACAATTCTTTTCCCCAACCACTATGTAACTGCAGGGCACAATACTTCATTTTGCACTATAAAACAGATAGATATTTTATATGTTTATGTGAAAAGTGTCATAGGAAAATGTAGAAATGGGACCGAGAAGATATCCAAAAATCAACAGCATTAACATCCATATGCTCCCAAGGAAACCTGGAACACAAATCAAGTTCTGATTTCACTTGCTGAACAATTGATTCAGGTGAGAGCGCAAAAATGCCTGAAGCCAGATAACGTTTGAGAAAGAAGAGGTCTGCACTTACAGCCAACATTCAGTATTTTTCTCAGCACAGGATAGTAAACCACCTGGAATAAAAAAAAAAAAAAGTCCTCCTGCAGGTGTAGGTAATGTACTAGTATGCACCGCATACTAGTACAATATGACAGACTTACCTGTACACTGAGCCCTCCAGTGTCGTGCTGTCAGGACTCCCCAGCATGCCATCTTCACCCGGTCTTCCTTCCTGGTTCATGGGCTCTGGCAGTTGAATGGTTGGAGCCGCAATTACGTCACGTGTGGCAGCCCTCTGCTGCGGAATGGAACTCTGAAGGTCCGAAACGCTGTCTCATCCCTTCAGAGAACATGCGCTGGTGACATCACTGGCTGAATGCTGTGTGAATATCTCCAAAACGGTGCAGGTTAAGGAGATTCACTGTAACTACAGGTAAGCCTGATTATAGGCTTACCTGTAGGTACAGCTTACAAAGTGGACTTTATTCCACTTTAATCCCTCAAGTACCCCAAGTATTCAGAACTGACAGAAACCATGGTTTGCCCACAAACATTTTCCAAAATTCGGGATCCATGGGTTGTGTTTAACTCATTTCTAAACACTGTGAGATAATGGCTACAGCCTTATGCTCCCAACTTATTGACTATCATATCATGTTAAGTCCTTGAACCTTACTCTGTACTGCACTTCAAAGATGCGCTGCAGCCAGAAATATAGGATTTATGAAGATGATGGCCATTCACTGTCCTGATTGTCATATATGTAATCTGTAACAAATAAAAAGCTGCCTTACAAAAACGACAAAATGTAGGTTTGGACTCCACCCACAATTAAAAAAAAAAAAAAAAAAAAAAAAAAAAAGGACACACACGATGAAAATCTTGCAAATATGACCTCATGCGGTTGCAACCTTGATTTCTGGTCTCAAAAATTTAAACCATTTTTTTCTTAGCACCTACACCTAGAAAAGGACAAAAACATGCTAGTGATAAGGAATTGCATTTGTTTTACCTTCATTTTTTCCCCAATAGTCTTGCTGCAAAGGTTTTTCTGTTTGTTCAGGTTGTCTGTTTGGAACCTGCCTGTAAAACACAAAGAACAGGGATACAAGTCTTTTTAAAGGAGTACATGGCACATAATACTATCAAGGTAATAATTCTGAAACATGAGCAAGTTGACTATAGATAAGGTTTATAGCTACAGATCTAGTATTTCAGCATCTTGAATTCAAGCTTTTGTCTCATAATGTGTAAGCTGATACCAGATTAGGATATAGGAGAGGAGTGCTTGTTATTACAGCCTGTGCTTTAGCTGTACATTGCCCAGTCCATCGTCCCTTTGATGCGGTGCAATTGTCCTGTCCCCTTAGCAGAAAAACACCCCCAAAGCAGAATGTTTCCACCACGTTTGACAGTTAGGATGGTGTTCTGGGGGTCATAGGCAAATTCTGTAAATTTGCATATAGATTAAAAAAAAAAAAAAAAATGTACATGCAAATATGTGCAGCATACATCCTTGGGTTTTTATGCAGGACTGTTCAGCTAGGAATGCGACGTTCATAAACCAGTACGGTGTACAAATGTCCTTAAAAATAATAATAATACACGTGTATTGAGTGACGCATATCCCCTGCAATACCCCCACATCCAGAAGACTTAATAAAGTGTCAGCTCTGGATCAGTGTGCAGCCAGCATTGAGTGACAGATAACGATGCCTACACTATAGTATATAGGGAGGGAAGGGCCTAGATATCACCACGCCTCCTCTGTAGCTTGCTTACAGTAGGATTGCATCAGATGTGAGCCAGCACATGGGAAGAGTGCCGGCTCAGCTGGTGCGATCTCTATCTACACACATATATAAGGTCTACACTCGGGCCTGGGTGAGGCTCTCACTCCACATATCACATTAGATATTGCTCGCTCAAGGACTCACATTTCCTCCATGCAGCGTCTGACTGGAGCAGAGAGTCTACTAAGCCCGGGTCCTTGAACCTCTTCCTCTGTGTCTCCCGTACGAGCTCCGGGTTCCCTCCTTTGTCTTCACGGAACAAGTCTAGGTCAAGCACCATAGTGACAGCAGACAACACGGCACTCCAACACTACCGAACCCAATGAAAGAACAGCAGCCAACTCAGGAGGGAGAGCGGGGTGGCGTCACGCGATCATGTGACCGCCGGGTGTGTAGGAAGAGGAGGGCTCTAACAAGGACCAGTAGTCAGCCCTTAGCTTCGCTAACGAGATGGCGTCTAATTTCAGTGGCGTTCTTCAGCTGACCGACTTGGACGATTATATCGGGCCATCCCAGGTGTGTCCGTGTGTGTAGTGATAACAGTATCATGGTTCATTCAGTTGTTTTCTACAGAGTGCCATAGAGGTGAAGGACACGCGTATGTCACATGACGTAGCAGGTTTGGCTGTGTGCAGGGGTGGGAGACCTGCCAGGAAGTGTGGGCTGCAATGTGTAGTTCCTGGACTGAATCGTCTTCGCTTCTACAGCTTAGCATATTCATGCTGTGCTCACACTGTGGTTGATTTACTAATGCAGGCCATAGACGGTTCGTTTATTGGCTGAATTTTTGGCTGAAAAATTAAAAATTGGTAATTCTGTTGCTACCAATGATTATGAAAATCTGCCGTTTTTTGTAAATTTTCCTGCATGACTGATAAAAGAAATGAGGAACCACGAAAATCGGACGATGACATTGCCCCACTAACGGTGCGAATATCGGCTGATTTATTCTTTCGGATTAAAATTCGGCTGATAAATGAACCGTCTATGGCCTGCATAAAACTGACAAGTGCAAAATCTTGTGCAGCTGTGCTTGATAGTTAATAGTAGAGCTTCTAACTTCAGCCTATTCACTTAAAGCTGAGTTTCAGCTGAAAAAAAGTAAGTCAGCAGCTATGAAAACCGTAGCTGCTGACTTTTAAAATACAGTCACCTCAATTTAGTGGTGTCCTCACCACGGCTGGTTTCCCCGGCTGTCTTCTCTCCTTGGGGCTGACAAATTCAGTGTGGACACCCGGCTGTGACAGCTTGCAGCTTCTCAGCCAGGTGCCCACTGCATATGAAGTACTGCGCTTTGTGAATGGCCCCGTAGTCTTCTGGGACCTGTCGTGACCTGTCGTGTCCCAGAAGACTACGGGGAGGACAACCTCCGCTTCCGATTGCCTTAGGCAATCACAGTGGGAGCAGGTACTCGAATTTGACAGGTACCTGCCAAAGGTGCCAATCCTTAATGATGAGCAGGCAACAAAGACTTAAAGCAAAACTTCCCCTTTTGGGTGGAGCTCCGCTTTAACAAAAAAAAAAAAAAATTGAAGCTGATTGGTTTCTATGCTGA